AAATCTACTTACTCAGTACTCTCAGAGGATTTTTCTTACATGAACTTGTCCAATCTTCTCCACAAGCTTCACCTTATAACATATGTGCAAAGAATGAGTAATGCCATATGTTAACTGTGGTCAATACACAGTGAAAATGCCTATAAAAATATTAATTCTGAGAAGAATCCCATTTTAAGTGTATTATTTATAAACAGAATGAGATTCATTTATTTTTTTAAATATATACAGGCAAACATTTGAACTAATCAAAACTATTTATTGCTATCCACATGTGAGAAACTGTATCAGTACCATCAACATCCTTTGCTTCCAAGTGCCAGGTTGTAGAGAGCTTTTTGGATAATTGGTTAGCTGAGAAAGGACATTTCGATGTGATATCAATGGATAAGGATAGGGGAAACAAGCTGGGAACTGAGCAACCAATACCCAATTACTGACAAAGGTCACAGTGACCTTCTCTGAAACGAGAAGACGGAAGAGAAAATCGCTTGCCAGAAAATGTAATTATCTTAGGTAGAAAAGTTAGAAAAATGCAAACATAGAAGCAAAATAATTGTTAGAAGATAGAAGTAAGTGTAGTTGATCTAAGTGTGCTTTAGCCAATAATGAGCTCAGCTTTTGCAATATGTATAAGCTTCATTAACACCAATATAAATATGTGTAGAGTTTCAATAAACTTCGAGATTTGCTATTCACGCATATTGTGTGAGGCATTTCTTCCGCCGTTCATGACACCAGGTGGCAATTTAAAACTATTTGAATTAAAACAGCCCAGTGCATGGACAAAAGCACAAGACAAACATGCTCTCACTGAAGCTGGGATTCCTGCATCTAAAATCAGACACATTCATCCCTGGAGGAGATTTCAGGAACTTTTTTGCTGCAATTTCCCAAATCCCAGTGAAGGGCATCCAACCAGCATGGCCATCTGACATCCAACAACTCTCTCACTAAAAATGTTGTGTTCCAGTTGATTTAAACCCTTCCAACTCTGCTTCTTGTTTCACCAGAGATCTTACCTGAGAAGGTTCCTCATCCAGCTTCCTCCCACTGTCAACAGGAGCAGGTGGAGGAAAGTCAAAGAGAACAATCCAGTTGTCTTTCCTTCACTGATGGCTGCCTGGCCCTCTTGGGCCCCTATTTCTTTTCTTTAAAGGCTATATAAATTCCCCAAACCTTACAATTTACTAAAGACAAAAGTAACACAAATCTTGTCCTGCTCTTCACAATAACATTTAAATTGACATTCTATCACTACTCAGTATTTCATAAACTTCCCCTAATGAGGTTGTAAAACTATACTACTCATATTTGCACAGGCAAAGAGAAAATGGCTACTGGAAGTAATTTTGGGCTCTATGTCTACTTTTTCATGGTTTCACATTATTTTTCCTTGAGTATTTCTTTGATCACTTCAATTTTATACAATATTTACATAAGACTGCTCAGAAATGCTAGTGCTCTGAAGCAATTATTACTTAATCTCCTCTAAATCCTCACTAATACGTCATATTCTTTAAATAACAAGCAGAAAAAATACAACACTTAAGTGGTTGTAAACACGTAGGAAACAAAATATATTAAACTGCTAAGGAAAAAAATATAATCCAGTACTTATACAAGAATTCAAGTGTTAAACTTTAGTATGAACAGCAATAAGAGGAGCCAAAGGAGGAGCTGAGAATTGAGTAATTCATCCTTGAGATGCAACAAATATTTTCTAAATTTTCCACTGATTTCAGAAATGTGTGACAACTGCTAAAACAAATTGTATAGTCACTGAAGCCTTGGGCCTGTCCAGGTTTCTATTGAAATGTCTCTGTCAAAACCAAAATGGGCTTTCCCTAGTTTAAATTTAAGAAATAGCCATCACCAATCAATGTTCTCCCAGACTGTAACACAGAGATTCCTGCAAATCCTTATAAGTCTCCTATCAGTCAAAAGTGAGATAAAGGCTCTGGGCAGGAGCCTCACATTCACTGCATGGAAGGATGCACCTCCACTGCAAGCATCAAAAACTACTCAAACTCACTATATTAAAAAATGGTATTTCAGTAATTTTGCCACTAGACAGGTTTCTTCATGAGTATAGGGAAACACCAGACTAACTCAGATAAAAACAAGCTGTTATAGGGAAGATTTTTGTAAGTCAATCTGCAAGCTTCAAAAATGACTACATAAATATAATACCACCAAATATGACAGCCTGTTTCTCAGTGGAAATTCTCAAATTTAAGGGAACACAACCACATAAGCTCACTCAGATAATGAAATGTAATTAAGATGTGCAAATGAATGAGGTACAAAATAAAAAATCAGATTCTGGGAATCTCCCTCCCTTTCCAAAGCTGTTTTCCAGATTTTACTTCTTCACCTTTCAGCTGCTTTTGTAATCACATTTCATTGCTGTGAAAATGCTTAAGCTGAAGTTGCAAAGTACAGCCATGATGTACACTGCAAAGCACTTAGGATTAGGAGACTGCTTGGAAAAGGAAGCAACACGATCATCAAGTGAGGTCAAGCAGGTACAACCCAACAGAACTCAGTAAACCAGGCTATTAATAACAAACCAAGAGGATAAGCAGCAGTCACTCAATTTAGCTACACCAGTATTACAGGGTTAGCAGGGGTAAAATACACAAATATGAATTAACAACTCTGAATTAGTTCTTTTTTTTTTTCCCTTCAGAAATAGCTCAAGTTAGCAAACAGATTCAGTCTTCACAATCAAATTGAATTAAAATTCACTGTCCATATGTAACAGGCTCTGTATTTCTGTATCAGTTTTAGGTGCAGCTAGGTACATTTCAACTTACATTTCAACATTGCTAATTTACAAGTGGCATATAAAGCATTAATTTCTGTTCTGCACATAAAGGAATTGAAGATTAATTGTTAATAGTAATATTTTTCCAAGTATTACTACAGTGAAGCAGAATGAATAAACTATTTATATGAATTAGCAGAAGGAAATTCCAATTTATATATCAAATAGGTATCCTTTGTTTTCATACCAATATTTGGAACATATTGGATGGCAATAGATCTTCATACCACCACATTTCTCCCAAGAACAAGACCATAGAGATACTAGTTATTGATCTGGCTGATAAATCTACACACTAACCATTGTGGATACAGGTAACCAAGGTTCACTGTCAAAACCACACCTGCTCTTTGCAGTTTAGTAGCCAGCACAGCAGTGCTTTTTTGCCATTTCAGTAGTACAAGTGACCAGGTGAGGACAAAGGCCAACCTCACCCTCTCTAGGGCTTTGTCCAGAGCACTTTCAGGACAAACCATTTCCATTTCTCTTTTACAGCTGGAACAGCCCAAGTGGTCAATATGCTCCTGGAGAATCAGACAGGCTGAAGTAGGTCAACCCAAGCTTTTCATGGTTTAACAGTCCACAAGCAACATGCAAATCAAGACTGAAGAAGACATGCAGGACCCAGCACAAGATAAAGCTGTGTGAATTTATCTACATAAATTTATTTTCAAATTGTTTTCAGGACTACAGCAAATGAAAATAGCTACACTATCTCTCTGTGGTCTTCACTTTCTCCTGCACTACCAAACCCAGATGGAACATACCAAGACTGTTCCTGTGTCATCCCATGGGTGGGGGGAAGAGGGGGAAGAAAACTCATTCATTTTCAGGACTGGCAACTTTAGCTCACTGTTTAGGTGCACAGGAACTACGATCAACTACAAAATCCTTCTGTCTTCTGGCACGCAATCTCCCTAAAGATGCTTGCTAAGTATCATCTCAACTCTTCCTCATTCAAGCTGTTTTTAATCTAGATAGCAATGGGAAAATCCCAAGGTAACAACCAGAGCACATGATTCTTTAGAAGGCTTTCAGTTTTCCCATCATTTTCTCTATAATTTCAGAGGTTCTGAACTCACAAGGTTGATTACAAACCCAGAGTCCAGCTCTACGAGGCACTGTGCAGCAGTGGCACTCGGGATGGCCACATGCGGTGGTTTCACCTCAACACACACTCCTAACCCCAGCACTACCACCAAGATTTGTGAAGAAATTTTCAGAAGAAGCCCATATAGTTTTTCTCCAGTTCTTACGTCACAGGAACCTAGACATGGAACTTTAATTTTTTTTTTATGTCTTTTACATGTAGGTCTTTGGTAAGGAGCAATGATTTTATTCTGAATTATATGAGAAGAGAAACAGCGAAGTTATTGTCAGGCCTGTGAAAATATTGAAATATTTTCATTCAGCTGCAACTAAACAAATCATTCCAGACAAACACAGTTGGGTTCCAGAATCCTGCAAGTATTTAAAGAAGGTGAGACAACCATAAAGAACAATACTACATCTTAAAATTTGTATATAAAATACTGAATTTATTAGTTTCATGAGCTAAAAAAATCACATCAAAATTTCAGATCATATATACAGTAAATCTTTTCAGAATGGATTACTTACATTTAAAGATGAAGACATTTTACACATAGAACTTGATCTCTGCACCTAATTGAAACAGCTTTGACACAGTTTCACACAGTACTGAGAAAATGGTTTTAAGATAAAAAATAAAATATAGTAAAATAAAATAATTTTATCCTTTCCCATTGAAGTATTTGCAGGTGCACTATTTTTCATTCTGCAAACTAAAAAGAACATTTAAATTAAGCAAGTAAGTCTTGTAAACTGCCTTTTAAATAAAACACCTATACAGTTTAAATCCATCATGAATGCAAGTTATTAAAAATATATAAAAATCATTCAGCAAAATGTCTGGACAAGTATCTTGGTAAGCTCTGGTATTTGTCCAGGTTCCATCAGCTTTCTCCTAAAAGATGGAAGTATTTTCTGTCACCAGTCCATATGCATCAGTTTCAGGTTCTAAATTATTCAAGTAGAATGGAGATCAATTTTGCCACCACGTGTACGTTGAGGCTGTTTCCAAGAAGACGATAGCGTTGCTTTAATGTTACCTTTTCAGGAAAACCTAAAACAAAAACATATAGTGCAACATCACTAGTCTGGGCTTGCTCCTACTTTTTAGTCTAAATTTTTTTTTCTGTGAACACTTCTTAGTGCAGTTATCACAGATTGCAGCAGGATTCACCCTCCCTCCAGCCCCCGAAAAATTCACAAGGTTACAAAACCAATTCACAAGCAATTCACTGGATTTGTATCAGTTCTTCTATTATCAATACTGCCATCTCTAAGGTTTCACAAGAAGCTTCAAAACATTCCTCTGTTGTGTAACTATTGCCGATCCACCTTCCCTTCAGAGAGCTCAAAACATCCAGCAGTCTCAGGGAGGGGCAGTGGCACTAAATCCCTGCACAACTGCTAATCTAGATAACATCCACAGAAGAACATGACCATATCAGAAAGAAAATGCAACAATTCTGCAGATGGACTAAACTGCACATCTCAATAAGCTTTATATTGTTCTTCCCACATGATCCCCTTGAACAGCTCAGGCAAATCCCATCTCTCAGTGCAATATACCACCCATACAGATTAAACAATGAGCAAGGCTTATTCAGTGAGTGATCAAGCAGTTGAACAATTTTCCATGTAATTCAATGCTGACCCCATTAAACACTCTCAGAAATACAGTCAGCACCAGAAATGTCCTTCCCCTAGTAAATGCATGGCCTGGCAGAAAGAAGGGAGAGCCAGCAAAAATGACACCAGCCCAGGTATTGTGAAAGGGCTGTGCTGTGTACTGACTCCCAGGCTTCTGAGAGTGAAGCAGTTTCAAGCAGCCAGTTGGTCTGCTCTGTCCTTGTTTGCACTCTTACCTTACTCCAACTGTGAGGTAAAGTACATTTGCTTCCACCTGAGTAAAAGATGAACAGCAGTAGTGACTTAACTGTTAGGGTCATACAGTAAACTGCTGAAACCTGGCCACATTCAATTATTTCATCATTCCCTAAGAAGAAACACCTAACTTTGACTCAGAGGTCATCACCACCCCAATTAGCTCAGATGCACAAGCACACTGTGAGTGCAAGTAGTGATATGTATGCTCTGAAGTTTCACAGCTCTTCAGAAAAAAATCTGTTCCAGAGAGAGCTGAGGAGAGAATGTGGTTGTACAGTTATTGAGCCAAAGGAGGCTCTGAGGAGGAGGTGGTGTCTGGGAGGAGTTGTTCCATCCTTCTCTGCCAGTTACTAATGCCTCAAATGTGGACTGCTTTGATAAACACATCTTCTGCCAGCTCCATCCACTCTGCCCAGCTTCCTGGCACTCACATTTAGGCAACTGTTCTTCTGTCTTTGGAGCAATCACTTGCACTCCCACACACACTTCCTTAGTTGGAGTTTTCCCATTCCACTGATGGATAAGGTACAGAATAAAGGCATTTTAAAAGCATACATGGAAATAAATTTGTATTTATCCACACACACACATGCACTTACAGCTCAAGAAACCTATCTGAATCTTGAAAATGTCAGAATTTCTCCTACTACCTTTTGGCAACCAAAAGCCAAAAATTAATTTCCAGAACTTGTGGTTTCCTTTATCCCAAGCCTCCTCCCTCTGACTGTTAACATTTTCTTGCATTTTCTACCTTCTTGGCTTCGGAGTGGCCACATCAGAAGGTCAGATTCAACAACTTCCAGTACGCTGGCACTTGCTGCACAGCTCTAACTGTAGCATTTATGTCACACACAGAACCTGAGGACATTGAGGTCTTAACAGCACATACTTCCCCACCATGCTGGCTTTTGTTTCCTAAAAGCTTGCATGCATTGCTAATAAGAAAAATGGAAAACACATCCTGACATCACTCTCATGAAAGCAGGTCACAGGTGCAAGAACGCTCTGTTCACTTTTAATGATATTGCTGTGGGACCCACCAGAGTGACTAAGACAAATGACTGCAGTATTTCATTGAACTATAGTGCAATTACTATTTATCCATTTTGATGTTAAAAGCACAAATAAATCTGGTCATGTTAAGAACGAACAATGACTTTCACTCTGGACCTCACATATTAGAAAATGCCATCAACTTCTTAAAATGCAGAACCATTTAGACAATCACGTTTCTTCTGATGATACTGTAGCTGCACTAGTAACAGCATCTGTTACAAAGCTGCTGACAGTCTGTTCACATAGTTTTCAGCTTTGAGTTCCCTCAGTTTCTTCAGTTTCTTGGACCAATAGCATATTTACAGTGGGTACAATTCTAAGCTCCCTGGTTTTGAACATTTCAGCCTAAATGTTGCTGTCACTACAGAACACAGTAGCACAGAACTTGTAACACATTTTGCTCTGAAAATACCATATTTCACAATAATTACTTGAAGTTTAGCATGGGACAAATGCTGTGAGGGCAACACCCTTTGCTGCAGCCATAAATATATCCACTTTGAAAAAAAAATCCAGAGCTTGTAATGGAGTCTTCCAAATACAAATCTCTCCATTGTCTCAGTTCTCCCTTTGTAAAATACAAGCAACATTAACCCTATTGCACCTCTCAGTTATGTCACAGAGACTGATTTAACAGTGGAAAAACTCCAGCTCCATTTTAAAAAAGAGAAAATGGGCAATTTTATGCTCAAAAGAGATCTTGAGCAGCATGATAAGCCTATACAAGCCCAATCTAGCTCTGTTAAGTTCAAGTATCTTGACATCAGCCTACATAAATATGAAACAGAGCTGAGCTAAAAGGCAAATAGAACAGATCCATTTAAGAAGAGAGGCTACGAAAAAACATGGCATGTTGGTATGTAACAACACAGCACACACTTGCAAATACTCATAAACATGTAAGCTTAGTGCTGGCAACTCTAGTTTCACTGTGAAACCTTGATCATGTTCTCCAAATGTAGCAATTTTGAATGTAACAAGCAATAAATGAAAAAATAAAGTAGAATTTTGAAAGAAAGAAATACATAGAAACAAGTCACATTTCTCAGAGTCACTGAGGAAGTCAAAGCAAAATATAACAAGGTCAGTGCTGTCTTATTCTTCAAGCAATCTGGTCTAGTGGAAGGGGGCTGGAAATAAATGATCTTTAAGGTCTCTTCAAACACAAACCCCTCCATGATTCCATGGATGCTTTTGTTGCTGAGTGACAATAAATTGATCTGATGTGATGTCAGCAGGACAGTTTCTTAGCAGATAGTAACAGCTACACTTTCATGCTTGCTCTTTTTTACAAGGAGAATACTGATGAATTTACTTCAGATTTAATTCTTGTTGATGTATCCAGTGTACTGATACTGCTGAGTCTTGTTCCTTGAATCCTTCAAAAAAACAACCACTTAGAAAATTATGTGCCTCACCAAGGGCTGCCCTTTCTAGAAAATGGAGATGGCTTCATAGATTGGTTCCTCCTCAACAGAGAACTATCTATATCATCTGAAATTCCCTGGCAGCAGCTGTAAATGTGTGGAAGAGAGAAAGCAAGCAGCTCAATCACTGAGAACTACAAACAGATTTCCTAAGCTAGCAGGATATGTTGATTTACCACAGTTGTGAGTAACACTGGCTGCTGAATAAATAGTTTCAACTTTAAACAAAGGTATTCCTTCATTGCACTTCACTAACAGAGCATTCTGTATGCTAAAAGCTTCTTATTAGCTTATGAAGATAAACTTCATCACAGAAGCTGGCTCTTACAATACCTGAAAAAAACTAGTGGAAATTTAGAGAAATTAAAAGTTAACCAAACAACAAGAATCAATTAATCATAAGAACTGAGCGGTCTGAAAAAAATGCAAAATAAAAAGATTAGATTAATCCCAGTAAAAAAAAATACATTGACATTTCTGAAGAACAATGTAGAAGTGTGTATTTTGTAGCACATACCAAATTCCAAAGGGAATCCATGAAGATTTGCTATTTCTCTTGGGGTAAAGTACCTCAGTTTTAATGTTGACAATTTCGTAAGCTTCTCTTCTTCTGGTAACTCATCAATGTGTTTAAACACTGATTCAAGCTATGAAGAATATAAAACCAAGAAATGTGACTGATGCAGGCGAAATATATAAAATTTACAGTCACATCTTAATAGAATATTTCCTTAATTATCAAAGTGACAAAGACAAAGCATGTTTTGCTTGAAAGTGTCATTTGCATTCTGGTTTTGCAGCCAACATCTCAACACACGGACTCGCAAGAAAGAAATCAATGTTGCCATGAGGATATTCATAATTTCTTCCTCCAGTTCCAAGCTATACCAATACTTAATGGGGCAATCAAAGAGCAAACATTTGTTAATGACAAAGGACACTGACTCAGTATAACTCAGTAACAGACCATTCATACAAATTAAGCTGTGTGGATGCAGCTGTTTTAATACTCCCACTTTGAGATTATCCTGAATTCCAGAGCTGCATTCCTCTTATGCTTAGAAATGCCCTATAATATTAGTGAACAGCACAGAAGTGCAGGAGGAAAGGCTTGTGTACGAGACAGGCTTTGTGAAAAGTATCTTTGAATGCTGATTAACCAGTACATTTATTACCTTCCCTAAGGCCCAAATACTACTTGTCATGAACCTATTCTACAAGTCTATCAATAGTAGAACTTTCCAAAATACTCTTCACAGATAAATAATTTTGAAATTCAAAAATGTTAAACATCTGACAATATTTACTGAATTATATGCATACAAAAACCAGCCCTTGATTCATTACACTGTACTGTAGGTTCTCCATAGAACTAGTAATTTTTAACGTTTTCACATACCTCTGTGAAAATTCTGTCTGACATGACAGATAAAAATAATAGCAACTCATATTCTGCTCGCAGAGAGACACTGATATAATTTTGGTCTAAACAAACTTCTGTCTAGGAACACAAACTGGAAACTCAGTTCCCATAAAAAGTACATTTAAACGATTTTTTTCTTATAATATTCAGAATAACAAAGGAGAAGTCAGAAAGAACCCCAAGCTTTGAAACAAGTCTCAAGTTTTAAAACAAGTCATTCTAATATGTCAGATTACACACTTACCTGTACATCTACTGCTGTCTGCAGAACAGAGCCGGTCCCTTCTACATAGTGTCCATACCTTAACAACAACAATAACAATCTTAAATTAATATTTTCACTGTATTTCATGGCACTGACAATTGCAAAGGTGCAGGTAGGTTACTTATGTTTCTTTCCCTTGATGAACAAACAGGCTCCTGGATAGATAAAGCAGAAAGCCTTGTTATAAACTCTGCTAACCCCTGGAGTGCAGTACCCTCTGAATGTGCTCTCTGGGGATGAGTCCACCCTCAGTGCTCAAGGGTTTATCAACACTAGTGTCTTATATGTGGGAACAAAGCCAAGGAATTCAAGCACAGGACCACCAAAAAAACCATCTACATTGCCTAAACCAATTTTACATTAGGGCAAAATGTGTTATAGGTCAAATGATCCCAGAGGTTCAAATTAGCTCTCCTTATTAAAAGGAGGACCACTAGTGTGAGCCTCCAGCTTTCATGTGAAAGCATTAGAAACAAAGTGGTTCAGTCAGGTTTAACTTCTGGTTGCTTGTGAATTTTCCACTGAAGGAAGGGTGATGGCCAGGCATCTATGCAGAGCAAAGAAAGAAAGAAAGAAAGAAAGAAAGAAAGAAATTTAAATCCAAGTAAACAGTAAGTAAACTTGCATTCTGAAACCACTGATAGCTATTCTGCATGCTTTGTGGTTGATTGCTTAACATGTTTACTCTGCTGTCTCTTCAAGGCTATCATTTAAATATAATTATGGGCTTTCAGAAACATGCTCTGTTGGTCTAACTATGGCAGTTTGAACATTCTGAACAGAAAGAGAGTGAGTCAAGGCAACAGATGGCTTTGCCCTGCAGAAGAACTTCAGAAGATCCCCAGCATTGGAGGGATGTGGTCTGCATCAATTGTTAACAGACACTCTTCTCTAGTTTTATCTGTACAACTGTAAAGACAATTGGTAACAACAATAAAGGTCTTTGTTCCACTTGGGACCCATTCCTAAAGCATGGCACAAGTTATATTTCAAGCCTCTCTAATTCCACAGTGAATAAAAGAATACTCGCTCTTCAGCACAATGACCCAGAATGACTCAATCTTGAGTATTTCATCCTCGGCTGAAAAAGCTACAATTAGTTCTGCCAATAACAGCCACAGCAGCACTCGTTTTAAAACAAAGTGGTTACAAATCTTCCTCAGAATCAGAACACCTGAACACTGTTACAGATTAAACACACGTGGAATCTGTTTTGTAAATACATCATCTTTAATTGGTTTAAACTTTAATTCTGGAAATTCCCTAACACAAAGTTTAACGATGTAACACACACGGCACTGAGGAATCCTCACCCTCTTCCTCTTCTATAGCATCTGGTAATATTTCAGTTTAATATAACTGAGCCAAAATCAATAAATGGGGTAAAATTCAGAGTGGTATTGAAGTGTTCTATTGGCAAAAATAAATATTCCTGTCTAAATAACTAGAGTACAGAATTCCTCCCCTCCAAAAAAAATCCAGTTGGTGTCTGTGTGCATAGAAGGCCGTGTGTGTGTGTGTGTGTGAGTGTGTGTGTTGGCTTTTTAATACAAATGTGGGCATATGGCTAATGTAATATTAGCTGGACTGTTATTTATTATTATTGAAAGTGCTGACTACAGAAAAGTTAGCATTCCTACCTTAGACCGGGAACATAATTAAATTTTGTCACAGTAAAAAAATGATGTATTGATTTTCTGACAAGATTCATTACAAGTTTCATTACAAGTCACAATGAAAGAAGTTGGCTTAAGAAATTACAGTCTTCAATTTTCATCTGATTCAAGATTCCCTGCCTCTTATTTCTGTAAGCTTTTAAAAAAAGCTCTTTTCATTTCATACATGTATTTTTTTCTGGGTATATTGTGTCATATATTATGACTGACAAAAAGTAATTTCCACAAAGCATGAAAACTCTTCTGTGATTCATATTTGCACAATTTTGAAAGGTATCACTTCTCTTGTCAATAGCATAGCAAAAATTTAAAGTATGTCCAGAACGACTACATCTAGAGAAGTCAGATATGATTTTCATTTCCTCTGTCCTTTAAAATACTCAACTTCAGCCACCACAAACACACTCCAAAGAGAAACCATGGTGTTGGTAGTCTCACGGACCTCAGCAATCATTCACTAAGTGCCCAGGAAGTCAGTGTCAGAAGGGCACATAGAATTACCTGCTTGATCTCTCAAGCATTACAGGCCATTACATTTTGCTGTATACCCCACCAAAGCTTTTCAAAAGAGATACTGGTATGGCAAAAATCACTGATGAACTATCTGTGTTTGAGGTCCCTGAATTAGAAAGGACTAGAGAAGGCATACCCAGATTATTTCTATCACATGAACCTTGCCAGAAATACCTGAAAACCAAAGAGAAAAGAGGGAAATTTTTCTCCCACTCTCAAAGCTGATGGTCAGTGCAACTTCCAAGAAAGACACCAGACAGGCACAGCAGCAGAGGGATTCTCTGTACTACCCAGAATGCTGCTCCACCCCATTCAGGGGTCTTTTTCCTAGATCTCATGCTTCAGAGAAATATAAAAACAGAACTTCTGGAACAGATACAGCAGGGACTTATTTCTGGCCTCAGAAAGTGACTTTAATGAGATGTAATTATAAACCTTCTCTTAATGCAGAGCTGTAAATGAGATGATTACGTTGAGAAACATGTTGGCAACCTTCCTTCCCAAAGGTTCTTGAAAAACAGAACTAAGATGGTAAATGAGACAGAACTATCCCCACAACTACCTCCATATCAGCAGAGGGCTAAGACACACCTTCCTCCGGTGTCAGATTTCCCACCACTATGTACAGAGACTTGATTTTAACTACTCAGGAGCCTCCTGCAGTGTGATTTTGATAAACATGACCACAAACTACTATGACATATTCTAGAGAAACCACAAGTGGCCAATTACTTTTGTTGACACTTAAGGCATACAGAAAACACATCAGACACCATTCTGGCTAAGGTTTTTTTGACTATTCTAGTTAAGAAAGATATTTCACGAGTTGCTGATCCCCCCCCCCCCCATCTCAAAAGAGCAAGGGCAGAAAAAGCACATACATATGTGAGCTGAGGGAAGCCCTTTCCCATTGCACAAACTTCAAACTTTTGAAATTCTTTTTCTTCTTTATTGTCTAAACCTTTAAAATCAAAAAAAAAATTGCAGGAATTCTGTCAATCTGGCAGTCTAATTTCTCCTAATTAAAAAAAAAGTTACAATTAGCTTTAACTCATCATCCAAGACATTTTATTGAAACACTCAGCAAACTCAAAAAACCAATCCAATTAGAAAAATTTATCAATATTAAAAATTCCCACAAATTTGCAGGCTCCGCTCCAACTGGAATGCTTCAATACAAATGCATTCAGTGGAAAAGCTCCTGACCAGTTGTCCACAGTGTTTCAGAACACTCACCAACTTCTAGAAGTCAAACTTAAAATTGCAAAGTACAAATCAGAAAACTACTATACAGAGTAGCACCGATGTTCTGCTCCATCAAATATGATTTGTAACGCAGCAACCTAACTGGTTTCATGACAATCCCCACTATTCTGATCTACATAGCTGAAAAATCCAAGAAATCAATGAAATGTACAGTGGAGACAGATTTAATGAGGAATGGATCTGTCATGCATGACACTTTGTGACTTCATTGAGCAATAGAAAGCAATTCATTAATGAATCAGCACTATACCAGTCTACTGGAACCATATTTCCGCAGGGGTAATTAAGCTTCTGTGAAGGTCAACAACAAATGGCAACTGTCTTTTGTGAATGCCTTTTTGGAGTGGGCACATGATGTTCTGCCAGACAGATTCTCATGCAGGCATTCCACTGGACCAGCAAGCACACTATATAAGGAGATTTCTTTCAAAGGCCTAGGATTTTTGGATAAAACACCTCTCTGTGATTTTACAGGACATGAGCACAAAAATACACTTAAAATTTCAGGACAGGATTTAGCAAGACATTTTCTTGGCACCTTACCCTTTTGTAAAGCACGTGGATCTCCGGCAGGTGGGTTTAACAATGTCTAACAAGAGAGCATAGCGCAGTAAGGACTTTGGTGGTAAGAAATATTGACTCATTTCTTCATTTTCCTCTTCCAAGAAGTCTTGTAGCATTTGAATAGAGGAATCATTATCCTGATTATGTTTTCTTTCCATCTCTTCTACTGTTTCAAGCTTAAACAGAAAGGCCCCTTTTGGTAAACTCTTCTTGCTGCTGCAATCTGGACCAATGTTTGGATCCAGATTCTTCTCCTCAGAGGACAAAGAACTGGTTTCACCCACTTTGTCAGCAACTTTTTCCTTAAGTAAATTTTCTGGATCCTGATCTGGGAATCTTGTCAATATCTAAGAGGAAATTATGACAAAATTAAAGAACTGTATTTAATAAACAACTTGACAGAGCGTAAGAATAAACAACCATACAGAGAGTAAGAATTCCTTCTGAGATGCTCACAATACCATTTAAATGTTATTTTCATGAAGACTTCAAAAGTAGTAGCATCAAGATTAGTTGACCTATTGGCAATGATGTCAGAACAGCTTCAAATAATTGCCTTTGCAAAAAGTCCTTTCCAAGTGTGTAAAAAATGTAGCAGTATGACATATTTTCTAGCCCACTATCAGGCTAGAAAACACATCTCCCAACTGTGTAAAGCCATCTAAGCCACAGACATTCACATCCGTCCTTACAAAGCTCAATATCCAGGCTCAAAAAAGAAGACAGAATTTAACTTTTCTGTTGGAATCACTCATTATTCTCCATTTATCAACATACACCACTAAACTGAAAATTTAACCCTCAATCTTCATGAAATGAAGCAAATTCAAGTAATACGGATAGACTCACTTGACCAGGAGCTTGAAAGGAAAATGGTTCTTGGTGAAGCTTTGCAATTAGAAAATACCGCAGCCTAGAATTGGGAATGCCAAGCTGTAATCAAAATTCAGAAGTCTTTAGTCCATGTGATAGTAGAGAAAAAGCGGTCTATAGCATCATACAAGTTATCTGCCATTACATGCAGTAACAGAACTATGACACACTAATAAATTTTATGACTTCAGAGATATCAGTATTCACGGAATCAGAGATTCATAAAATGGTTTGTGTTGGAAGGAACCTCAAAGGTCATCTAGCTCCAAGCCCCCTGCTGTGGGCAAGGACACCTTCCACTAGACCAGGTTGCTCAGAGCCTCATCCAACCTGGCCTTGAACACTTCCAGGGATGGGGCATCCACAGCTTCTCTGCACAACCCTCAGTGCCGCACCATCCTCATCACAAAGAACTTCCTCCTGATTCTACTCTAATACTACCCCTAAGTTTAAATCCGTTCCCCCTTGTCCTGTCACTGCAGACTCTTGTAAAAAGTCCCTCTCTGTCTTTCTTGTAGTCTCCCATCAGGTACTGGAAGGCTGCAATTAGGTCACCCTGAAGCCTCGTTTTTTCCAGGCTATTCCCTATGTATTAGTTGACAATACCTACACACTCGTAACTTCCGTACCTAGGCACTTCCAAAGATCCAAGTGAGCAATTATTCTCTGTATCTCATAGTTTTGACCTTCTCTGTAAATGAATATGAATGTAAACAAAATTTTATGTGATGCAAGAAGAAAAATTTACATGCCTCACGATTTCTTGGGACAGGTACTATCTGTTTTCTGTTAAAAGCAAAAAAGTCTCTTTTGCCTTTTTAAACAAGGAATTATAGACACCTAACAATTAAATAAATCCACCACAATTGGTTTTCAAGCTACATTCTAGTAGCTTTTCTCAAATATTTATGGTACTTCACTGATTCCAGTTAGTGTTGCACAATCTGAAATCTCTCTCAAACTTTTTTCAGTTGCCAGGGTAACACGGAAACAAAGCTCCTTCTCCCACAAGAAACAGTCACATTTTCTGTGCTGGGAAATCCAGAGGCACAGCACTTCTGAAGCAATGGGGCTCCTGCAGGGAAAACCACCTTCCTGGTTACAGTGGAAATTCATGCCTTCTTAAAAATATCAAATGGCAGCAAAGCAATATGGGACTAGGATCTGAACACAAACAGCAATACAATTATATCAGTATGAGAAATCAGAAGTCATGTCAGTTGGTTTTCTCATTCAAGTGTCTCTTCAGCTTCGGGCATGACAATCTTTTCTAATACAGAACAAATTTTCAAATGTTCTTGGACTCAGTGCACTTTTAACTATTAAACAATATTAGAGCAATTTTAGTACTCACACATGTTGGAGACAAGAGAAATTCCTGATATTGAAATCCACATGTTGCTAGTGTTTGCAAAAGTTCATTTCTGAAAGGAATCAAAAAGCAATTACTCCCTTCACATAGTCTTTAGCCCCTTTTTTAATCCTAAATAAGCATAGATTAAATTCAACATCATATTTCCCAAAACATTCATTGAAATAATTGGACAACAAATTATTGATCTGTCATCCATTACTGAATTTGAGAGACAACATACAAAGTTCGGTGTTAGAGACTATTATACATTCAAAGGCACCTCACTCTTACTACAGTGCAAATGCCTCTTCAAAAAACATTCCATCTCTAGGAAAGTAATTGTGGTGTGTCAACAGGGAAACTAACTAGAGGGCAAGATACTCTCTTTATTGGGAATCATAAAACAGGAGATTAAAACCACTACAAATAGCTCACTACTTCCTTCTGCTCACATACCCAGCACCGGCTAAGCCTAACAAAGAGGCTAAATCGAGGGATGACAAAAATCAGTGGCTTTGATTATAAAAGTGAGGTGGGACTGTGCTTTATAAACAATGGAAAGAGACTGTAAGGGAAATAATCTTAAAAATACTTTTCTTCTGTATTCCATGCAGACTGAGCTAGGCTAGAACTATACAAAAGGCAGGAGCTGTGACCTGTACCCAGCATTGTATGTCAGACTGCATCTCAGGTGTCGTAAGAGAAAACAAATGTCCTAACTGGGGTGTTTTCTGAAGTACAGCTTGTCCCAAGCCCTGGCCAGCAAGGCACAGCCTACAGAATCCCAGGGGCTACAAGAGAAGACCATGAACACTGAACCAGTGAGAGAGCTGAGCATGTCTCCCAGCTGCCTGCCATATTGATTAGGAGCATGATATGCAGGGTGGCAGCTGGTGCTTAAAGGAGCACACAGAGATCCAGCGAGAACTGAGGAGGAAGATGGCAACTCCCTCCTGCTTTGATCACAAGAGAGAGTGCTCCTGTCATTAGATAATTGCAGTGACACCTTTCCTCTTTCACATTTCATACCACAACCAAATACGACCTTCTTACTGCATCTCTGGACCATTCGATGGCAGCCCTGAACCAGGGATAATCTACTATCAACAAAGGCACTCAAGAAAGCCCCTGGACTATTCTGGGACCATAACACAAGATACCATGGGATCCTGCCATGAATGAACCCCTTATTATTAGTTATTACCCCTATTATTAGTTTTCTTTGAAAAGTAATTCTGATCTTTTCTAAAGCAAACATGATCATCAAATAAAATCAAATCAAATACTCATCAAATAAAATTAAAAATAAAATACTGTTGTATTTTATCTACTTAGAGACATAACCAGTTATCTATCAAGTTTTTTTCACAACCTAAGATTTTAATTCCTGTCCCATCTCAAGCTATTTTGTTAACTCCAATTCTAGGAAATAAAAATCCCTTCTAAAAAATAAATCCCTCCTCCTTCTAAAGAATAAATCCTTTTTGCAAACTAAAAACTGCATGTATTAATTACAGTTTACCTTGCAGAAGAGGATTCAAATCCTTTAACATTTTCTAAAAGTAGATATTTTGGAAGCTTCTGAAGCCTACAAGGAAAAAAAAAAAAAGCAAATCAGTGTAACAAGACATAAAGTACATTATATTCATCCACAGATCTGGTTAGCTAGCAGAAAGATCAAAGTATTTCCACATCATGCTAGCTGTTAAAGTTCAGCATCCTTAAAAAAACAACTGAATTAAAAAATGTGGACTGCTGGTAAAAACCACAAACCCCAGCTATGGGGGATGAACAGCTGTACCCTCTTGTACTCCATGCATGTACTTTTGAAAATGTTTATCACTCTTCATTTCCTAAAACACAGTAATTTTATTAAACAGATTCAGTGTATAATAGGAAATATAATTGTTGGGGGAAAACCAATTGCTACTTAGCCATAAAAATGCTGTTTTCAAGTGCTTGTACCTGAAATCAATGTCAAAATGTCACATAAACCTTAATGATAACACATCAGAACCAGTATTTATTTAACTGATTTAAGAAACACAACATATTTAGAGTTCAAACTTCAGATATTCTCTATTTTCTAAACTTGACTTTTTCCTTTTGATGGGGGGACGAGGTGTCTCAGGTTTAGCAGGATCAGTGCAAAGGTCTGGAAATAGGCACATTCCAAAAACAGCATATTAAATCTCTGGAGAAATGAGCATGCCCAAACTGTGCCAGGGACTCTTCCAGCAATTTAGAAGCATAGATGATTCAGATTCAAGTCTCTGGGAACATTCTGTAGCACTGATTAATTCTCTAATACGGCTAATGTAGAAACACAATGTCTGTCACACACTGGGATCTCAGAACATACAGAAGTAGAATATTAATGCCCCCAGACAGCAGCTTCATGCTTATTGAAGTTAGTGACTTTGGACTTCCATTGGAACAAATCACAGCAGAATTTGTTTCAGCACATTTTTAATTACCACCAATTAAAAACATCATATGAAGTAAAAGAACCAATGCATCTCACAAGAAACTATGCCAAACTTAAAAATACTAAAGATAATAGTGAAAAACTAATACTAAAGTGAGAAAAGCAGCATCAGCCTTGCAGAGGAATGGAGAATATATCTGCTGATATGTCTACCCACACTCTTCATCACTGACTATTATGAAACTTCTTTTTCATCAATGAATCCAGAGCACAGCCTGAAATGCAAGCACTCATAGGGGATGGACAGATCACAAGGCAAGTAATCACTGTACAAAAAGGAAGTGTTAAGTATTTGATAGGTATTAACATTAAAAATGTTTCTGTAAAAGCAGCACTTTGATGTTTTAGCATTGGATTTTGCCAGGTTATGGCTTGGACACAATAAACAAATAGTATCTGGACCATTTGGGTCGGACTTTGCTGGCTGGGTGCTCCAAGGATTCCCCATGTCTTTCCAGATCTTGAAATTGTCCTTTCCATTATCTCTAATATTTGTCATCCCAGGCTACCTCTCAGTCTCATTTCAGCAATATTTCATTATAAAAGACTGAACAAACATAAGTACATCCAAGGTATGAGAAATTATTTTACACTTTTCATAAACTGCATGCATAACATAGCAATTTAGAATGTAAAGGGATAATTTCTACATTAAGAATTTCCTTTTTTGAGGCTGAAGTACTCCACACTCAATGTCTCACAAATGTATCATATTCAAAAAACACATAAGTGCTATCTTAGTAAAACACAAATCCACTGGAATTGAGAAACTCTACAGAAGCCATCATGTTGAACCTGCTAGTGACTACTTAGAGTAGGTGCTGTTTCAAGAACCCTACCCAGGAAGATAAGGGACATTAGCAGTGTCTCCTGGGGTGTTGAGATAAAAGTGAGACAGCCAAGCCCAGGTCCTTTGCATCGTCATGATAAAAATATAGGTCCTGGAGTGTCTAAAGCTTTGGTTTTGAGAAGGAAAACCTGCTGTTTATCCAGCTATGTCCACACCAATTGGGAAGCAGTGTTTCCATATTAATGCACTATTATGTCCAAAAGCAGCCAGCCTCTTAACCATATTTCAGTTTAATGGAAAGGAATCCCCAGGTCACAATGCCTTTAAGGATATGGAAGATACTGTTATTCTGACAAATTATTAACTTACTCAGTATTTGCCTAGTTTCATTTTCAGTTTCAAAACACAGTTTGAAACCTGTGTTACATTTCTTGTTCCACAAAAGACATCCTTTGCAACTTCTAAACAACCCACATTTTCTCCCTAATTTTGTGTCTCTGACAGAAGCAGGGGAGTAGTAATACCCATTCTTTTTTACCTAGGAGTTGTCTAACTTACTGGGCTACAGAATCTGTGTTTTGTTCTGTGTTGTCTGCCACAGATTTCTTATGTAGTATGGCCCTGCCAAGCCACTCAGCCCTTCGGTGTCATCGCTCTCTCTCTGCTCATGACAAGGGCAAAGAAACAGTTCCATTCAATGTTGTTGGCTGCATAAAGTTTCCAGAACAAGGATTAACACTCTTTTCTCCCAGTGCTAACAGCAGTTTGAAAGAAAGGCTTTTTGGAACTGGCTTCCTTCTGGGTTGAAAGCATTCATAAAAAAAAAAAAAAGAAGAGTAAAAGAGACACCAAACATTCATCTGTCCTTCTCCAACCCTGATAGCAAGATGAACTAATGGAAGAATATATAGGTAACAACTGTCCTAGTCTCCAGGTGAAGCAAGACTGCCAATAAAACAAATAATTATGGCTGTTTTATTAGGAACTGGGATCTGACCAGGCAAAAAATGACAGATGAATTGAAGGACACTGTCCAGACAATGCAGTGCTATTCAAATTCTTTAGTATTACTACTCCAAACAAGAGATTGTACTACAAACCAAAAACACACAATCTGCCCCAAGATATCTAGAAGCAGCACGAAAAAGAACAGAGACTTTAAGAAAGAAATGGTTGCAAGATGTGTTGCATTGTAGAGTCAATAGCACACTTAAACCAATTTTCAAATGGTACCTCTTCAAAAGATGACTATATGTTGAATCTAAGCTTTTGTAACCCAATATTTTAAAAACCTTTCATGTTTCTGTGAGACCAATAGACAAACTACTATATTACCTACTCCTGTTTCTATGTGAAATCAATGCAAATGTGATGTTGAATTGAAAAGAACTCATTATTTTCATTTATTGTGTAGGCACAGTTTAAACAGACATGAAATGAAAAGGAAACCAGACAATGAAAGCATATACAGCACCAATGAAGTGATTACAGCATTAGTAAATACAAGTATATGTAAGTTACATATGATCATATGAAAAGAAACACAGAATACAACACAACACCAACAGTATCCCTCTAAAACATTACAGATATCTTGTCTCACTGAAATAGAGAAGACCTAGTTACAACAAAGCCTATTTACAAAAGGGGCTTTACCATGGAGGTAGAAGTTCATTTATACCTTGGGAGAATATCAAGGATATAGAGAAAGCTCTTGGTCCGTGGATCAGACACATCACCTTGCAGGCCAATTCTAAAAAAGAATAAAGAAACACTGGTGTATTACTCAGAGCACGCTGACATTTGAGTTACATTTTTCTACTGAATGCCAACACTTTGCTTTAAGTTTTGAAAGAGAATTCTGCAAAGGCATCACATCCAGACAGGAGGACGTGCTCACAGAGGCAGTGTCCTGAGAGATGCTCTAAGGAATTAAAGTCTGCCCCTGGAATCCATCAGCTCACTGCAAAGTTAAAATTGAAGCATTAAGTAATGAAATCCACTCCCCAGTCTGCAAAGGCTTTAGCATTCTAGTCTTGTCCAGCAAAGCCTTTGAACGTACTTGGCTCTGAATGAACAAAAAACCCCCACTGGGTTTCTGGGAATACCCTGCTACTTTGCACTGAATATATTAAATTATTTCTATGAATTAAAGCCTCATTGTTCACCATTTAGCAGGATGGAGCCCCACATGAATAACTTTGGAATCGATTTTGTAACACTAAACTGGAAAGATTATGTAGGTTACAAAAATGATAATGATTCCAGGCCTGTGTTTCCCTAGCTTATACTTGTATTAGCTCATAAAAAAAGAATAAAAGCTTTGTAGAAGAGCTTTAACATGTATTTTAATTAATCAGTCATACACAGATTTTTCTTTTCATCATATTATAAAGAAAAAAAAATCTGAAATGTTTCCTATATACATCATAGGTTTGCACTTATTCATTTGTACAGATCAGCACCACTTTACAGGGATTTCTTTTCAGTCTTAGAACATTTAGTGAGATATACTTTCTTACACAATCATTATTATCACCATCAACAGACTTTTTTCATGAAGCTATTACTTTGCATGAGTGCAGTTACTAGAATCTTATCCCTCTGGTCACTGCTGTCAAATGATATGAATTACAAATTAATCTGACAAATAACATGTCAGTAAATTCAGTCCTTAATCAGCAAGATATTTCTCTTTATCATCCACAAAATCATTTCAAAGCCATTATCCTTCTGGTCTTGGCTAAAATAGAAATATTCTTCAGAATAAGCTGTCTGTGTGCATGTGCAATTTTCAAAGTACAAATAAAATCAGATTATACTCTTAAGTCTCAGGCAGAACTGAGAAATTCCAATCCTCCTTCTGGACATGCCCCAGGAAAATATTAGATTGAAATCTAAAAGGAAAGGCAGGACTCCCAAACACTGAATTTCACTAGTAGAGGAATAATACAGTTCACAAAATTGGTGCTGTAAGAAGCTTAGTAAACTTAAACTGAATTAATATATACATATGCAAGAAATGTGATCAACAATTAAGATGCAAATTGCTGCATTTCTTTCACTTCAGTAGACACCATGATGAACAGAGCTACAAAACATTTGCTTAGGAAGAGAAAGATACACAGATCACCCACACAGTGTCACTATGTCTTGATAACATTTCTCCTTTGACCATATAGAGTATAAAAGTGCCATATACAGTAATAACTGCATTTTTTTCCCAAGTGTGCTGTACCTACCTTGTAAAAGGCTGACAGGGAGGACTCATCAAAATCATATCAAAAGATAATCTGTCAAATTCTTTCAGTGTTATGCCCTGAAAACAGAAAAAAAATAGAAGAATGTTGAGTGTTGTGAATTGTATGAAATTCCCAAGCCATCTTTCAGATCAAATTAGCCCTCTTACTTCCAGTATGTTTCATTGAGCAAAAAACTACCTAATCTCTCATTTGACCTAGTAATTTCAAAATCTTTTCTACCTTGGCAAACCATAAAACGTAAATATGCATTCACTGCTTCATATGAAACAAAACACTAATAAGGTTAGCATCTATACACAATCTTGAGGTTTTTATCTGCTCATTCTTTGAGGTGTGCAGTGGTTCTTTCAGTAGATACTCACCTGTTATTTCTCCTGAAAATAAAGTATCATTACTCAGATATGAAGTCTTAGTGCATCAAAACCAGTGTTCACATACTCAAAATATGTGTAAAAACATCCGAGAAGAAAAGTAGCTCAAGTGTAAATATGATAATTTTTATGGATCCAAACTATGGGGTTTAGTTCTTGGGGGCTCACTGGCAATGCACCTTAAAAAGTTTATTTCATAGTTTTTCCCCTATACAAATTAGTCAAAGATATTGTATGGCTGAAATTCTCTACAAAGACAATCCTGCTTAGAAAAGAAAGAATTAGGTCTGTGGTAGGAATTAATTACACAGGTAGAAATTCCTCTAAACTGAGTTTTCACCAACACTAGAAGATCAACACATTAAGGGGCCAGGAGGAAAGAAGGACAATGATCAAGTAACTATGACTTGGACAAAGAAATCACTCCTTACATATTTTGAGGGATACCTATACAGCAAATGTAATGTAGCTACCCTCAGAAAACTAGACAAAAGCTGCTGGTTTTTTCCATTATATTTGAAGAAGGTGTCACCGACTAATAATCTGCTCTTGTCTCCTATAAAATGATACAGGCAAAGATTAATCTTCTTTTTCCATTACAAAACTATCACTTAGCCAGTTATTATTGAGTGCTGAATAAGCATTTAACCTTTAGCCACCTATTTAACTCTTACTTAAGCTGCTGTCTTAAAACAGACACAGTATCTTTTACTCATGTTGTAAAACTGTAAAAGAAGATTAAGAAGTATACAGTAATTTCTAACTCAATCCAAGCAAAACTCCATGCCTAGCATGCCTCTCATCTATTAAAACAGACAACTTTAATCTAATTTTACTTAGTTATTTTTCAAATAATTTGGCAAGTGACAAAATTCCTAAAACATTTTATCTATTGAGCCCATTAAAAAAGATTCAAGAGTGTTCAGTTCAATATATTTTGTTGTGTTTCTCTGAGCCCAACTGTAACTTCAAAACAAAGGCATGCCCCCAAGTAATTTAATTAAATTTTTTCAAAGTACATGAAAATATTTTTTAATCTAAAAATATTATTTTTGACATTCCTTTATTGATGGTAACCATTCCTCTTGACATTTATATAACCTTTCTTCATGCAGTAGGCAAGACTTTCTAGAAAAGCCTGCAGTATGAAATCCTGTTTACTTCAACAACCAAACAGCACAAGCAATCAAAGTTATTGTAAAACTGCTTTATTCATAATAACATAAATATTTCTGTTTCTCTTGTTACTAATAAAGACATTGAAAGCAACTCACATCTTAAAAATGCCAGACTACAGTAAAAAACACCTTAATTACTCACCTCAATAGTCTTTGCCCATAACGGTGTGCTGGGAAAGTTGTGCTTATAAACATCATTGGCAAGAGTATTCACATCAACAGCAGCTACAACTTCTGCATATGTGCAGCTTTCTAAAATTAAAAAAATTAATTTCAAAACTCTAGCTTCTCTTTACTACTCTTAGAAAAATATATTTGCTCAGCTGTGTTACAGCATCGCTAAAAAACAAAAGGCAAATTACACAATCAAATTCTGCTGTGTTGTCTTTGAAACTTTGTATAAAAAACATGTTTTTCTACTCATATGGGCAATACTTCCCTTCTTTACATATGCAAAAATGGAAGCTAAAGTAGATAAAAAAGTAGATAATTAAAGTAGATTTAAAAATTCCAAATAGGGTGCACCTCTACAACATTTCCACCTCTGTGCAGGTCACTGTGGCAGCAAGTTCCTGGCTACAGGAATCCTAAGTCAATCCTGCCAAGCCCCACTGCCACTGCCTTATCCTCTGACAACTTAAAAGAAATAAGTGTGTTATTTTAGAGGTGTACTACTTCTCATTATGAAAAAATAGCACCAATATATTTGATATATGTCTACTCTTCCAATAAAAATTTAAGCTGTCTGAAAAACATTTATGCTAACATTTCAGTAAAGCCTTAGGCCTCAAACTCAACAGCTGCCTCCTTTGAGTTAAAGGTCCCAAAATACCAAACTTGGCAGCTTCTCCTCTCTTGGACAGAGGTGTTATTGAAGAGAGGACAGTGTAACAAACTCACAGCTAAAACCCTGAAATAAAAATACACTAAAAAGAATATAAATAAACAACTGTTAATTTATAAAGTAAGAGAGTAATAGGTTCTACAGAAGCTAAAGAGATAAAAAGAGCAGTGTTTACACCATTGCTCATCATGTCCCACTATTTGTTATTACTAAACACAATACCTTCACTGAGGCTTTTTATCCAAGACGACAGGCTGTGGTCACTGTCACAGCTGCAGGCAGAGAACTGACCCTACCTCCTGATACCCAAGATCAGTATCAACCATCAGGATATTTACATTATGGTCAGCATTACAAAGCCTCAGATGAAACACAGGCAACTTTAAAAAAACTTTTCTAAACCAAAAGAAACAAGGCAAATAGCCACATGCCTTTGAATAATCTCACAATATACTCAAGTAACACATTAACAAATGACCTTATGAGATACTGCATGAATTACTGCTAGTCAGCTAATTATTTACAGTTTGAGAGGATGAAAGCCCAACTGGGATGATCCCAGTGGATTTAATTTTGAATAATGCAGTTACCATCCATCTACTATCTTTCGGGTTTTCAAGGCTGTCTTAGTCAAAACTAAGATGAAAGAGAAATCTGGGTATTGAAAAGATTGTAGCAGACATTTTAACAAGGCCCAAGCTGGTTCTTCCAGGTTTACTTGATGCAATCAAGGGCAAAAAGATAAGGTTTTTCACAAGATAAATACTTACAGACCATTAAGGGTCAGCATACAAATCATTGTTTGCCATTACTGTCTTGACCTTTTGACCAAAAGTTGTAACTGAGAACTAAATACAGGTGTATCCACAAGGACAATAGCGTGACTACACCTGAGATTACAGAACAGGTAAGTTAACACTGACACCTAGCGTGAAAAGAAAGCTGGATGAATATCTCAATTTAAAAATGTGCTCAAGAACCAACACTTCCATCTTCCTAAAACAAAGGTGCAGCGTCTAAGTGACAGGAGCAAACTTCCAATACTGTTAAAGAGATCACTTTTCTCCCTCACTCCTTAAACACATTGTCCTAACAAGCTAACTCTTACTGTGTTTTCCAGGTACTGCAGAAGAAAAATAAAATTAACAAAATCAAGACCCTCAATTATTATCTAAATTAATACATAGTTTTAAAAGGGCAATTGGGAAGGCAAGCTGTGTGCTTTCTCTCACAACTCATGATTCAGACACTTGTTTTTTTACTGCCATCCATTCAATATCTCCCTGCATACATACAAGCAAAGATAGGCCCAAAAGCCTGGAGATATGGAAGAGAGCACACAGCTAATAGTAACCTATTGAATCCCCTTGCAATACAATGTTCAGTCTAAACCAAAGATGTAAACCAGCATGGAAAAAGGACAGGAACTTTTTCTGAAGCATTCCACCTGAGATCCCTCTTCCTAATTCAAAGACCTGGTAACTTTTTCAAAGCTTCTCCTCCTTTTCATTTAAAAGTTGCAGCTCACTTGGGAATTCCTGTTAGAGAACAGACTCCCTCTAAAAGCTGATTAAGCATATTTGTGTGGATATGCCCTGAAACGCATGAAGGAGCTCGAGCAGACAAGCAGCTCTCACACATCTAACCTAACAAAGACAAGCTTGTCTAAATTTCAAACAATGTGAAAATGCAACATTTTTAAAGAACTTCTCCTGAAAGTTAAATAACTTTATGTCAAACTGTGATATTCTGCTTTCCTATAGCAATTACATTTACTACTTGAAAATTACTATAAGGAATGCATCATAAAAAAAGCCTGAAAGCAGAATCTGAGAAAAACAGAATCAAGACTGTGTTTAACTATCCCCACTGACAAAAGGCACAAAACCAACTCAGGAATCGCTGACTTGGTGGGATGTTAAATCAACTCCCAAAATACATAGCAAAGCTTCAATATAGAAACAGACACAGCTCTGGAGATTTTTTTTATCCCCCTCAAATAAGTACATCCAATCTTCAAAACACAGATATTTAAAAGAATTATGACAATGCAGGAAACAGCATCATTTTATTCAGACTAAAGAAAAAATAATACACATTTCCTAAGTGAAACTAACTGGCTGCTGGAATACATGATTTGCAGGATTCCTCAACACCAGTTTTTGAACTGACACTTTTCATTTCTGAGCAAGATGACATGGTTCAAATGGAAGCTACAGATATGGTGAGGAAGTTACTGAGGGAGGTGTTATGACTTATTTTTAGGCAGACTAGATTGCAATATTTTCTCTTGGCTGAAAGCAGGTGAAATCAAATTTGTATCATCCTATTAGTAATGTACTGATTTCACACTTAAAGCTTCAAACCTCTTGGACCCAGATAGCAGAAACTCTTTGACTGTTACTTAAATTGCCTAAAGAGGCAGCAATCAAACTTTGAGTCCCTGTTCTCTCCTTTATTGAATATACAATGCTTACAATCCCTTTCAGTATGGAGTTGTCATTTTTGAGGGAAAGGGACACTGCTGTAAGGATTGGAAGGAGATTCGAAACAAAGAAAGACAGGATGTGTGCATTAGCTTCTGATTTGAAAAAGTAAACCCAAAGAGTGTCACCTTCAAATGCCAGAAATAAAATTTCTGACATTACAATATCTGTCCTTTTCCTCTTTAGAATTGATTCCTTTGTCATGTGTTTCTGCAGACCTTAAAATTAACATAGATCTGTTTATATTCACTCCTGTACTTTTGCAATAGAGTCATCAATGTCAACAGAACACATGAAATACACTGTGTTACAGCAAGGGCAGTTTGGTGGATTTCAGTATATTGGAAAATAGGAGCCAGAACAATTATCTTTTCTGACAGGTATGTGGAAACAGATGGAAAAGGGAAGATTAGTCACAAGTTTTGTCAGTCCTGTTTCCTTTTAAAACAGAGAGCAAAGACTTAATTTCTGAGTGTCAGCTCTTGGCTGAAATGATTAGGCTGAACTGTCCATGGCTACAGTGAACACAGCTATCAGTAAACTTGATACTGGGTTCTTGCAGGACACTTAGCAACTCCTCTCACTGCGCTATTTGTAAAGGATTCAATCATGTTAAGCCATAGAAACTTCATAAACTTACACTATGCCACAACTGGTACCATCCCGTGCTACAAAGAGCTATATTTTGGAGAAGCATTAAATTGAGTTTAGGTGTAAAAACTCGCTCAAACCAGCAATATTTTTGTTTTGCATTGTGCTGAATGTCAAAGCCAGTTTTGTCTCCTTTGCCTCTCCTGGTGGGATAGCTCTGCCCAGTGTAAATACACACACCAGTTTACTGAGCTGTGCAATTCACAGAGCCAATCAAATAAAGTGAATGGGCATGCATAACAGAGAACAAGAGACAAAAGTTGTTACTCTGCAAAATTGAAATATAACAATTGCAGAGGAAAAATATCACCAACTTCATCACTGCAAATTTATGGTATTTTTTAGAATATGTCCTTTAGTGTTTCATGCAAGAGGATTTTTTTTCAGGGACCTGGCAGATTACAAATGCTTGTGGCAGAGACATGGAACCCAGTTTTCATGGGAAAACTGCCTAAATTAACAAGCCAGTTTAGGTTTGTTTTGGTTGGGAAGGAGGAAGAGCAGGTTGTTTGTTTCATGGAAAGTTGCTAAGGAAATGAATATGTAGCCATAGATTTTCTAAAAATAAAACACTATTTTTCACTGCAGAAACTCTGCACTTTATAAAGAACAAATTCACTCACTCACACACACAAAAATTATCATAGATTTATTCATATTCGACTTAAATATCAATCTTTATAAATCCCAAAAGGCTTGGGTTACAGAGTGGGAAGAAGAAAGAAATGCCCTTTCATCCCCTAGTTGTCTCAATCTTTCAAGAGTGTGAATATGAAGAGACTCCCTGATTTCTGGCTTTAACTAAGCTCAACTTTACCATCTTTTGATGGTATCTTTATCAAAAGATATAGCTATCAAAAGGTCTTTGGTGTTAAAATATTATTATAAAGCATTCAAAACCTAAAACCAGAAATTCTACATGTGCTGATATATCTACAGCTGAAGCACCAAGTACCAAGCTGAAGTACAGAGCTAGGCAATCCCCAAGATTTTTCTTTTTCAGCTTTAGACTGAAACCTAAGTTGAGAAACAGCCTTCTCTCCATTGTCAAAAAGAATGTGATTCAACTATGAAACTATGTACTCAACATTTCTATGTAATCTTTACAGAGAAACACAAGAGACTATAAACTTCCATCAATATGTGAAAATTCAATTATTTTTTACTGTAGGCAAAGACAATCTCAAAACCAATTGCATTCTATTTGGTACCAAATGCATTCTACATTAATGACAGCTGCCAACAACAACCATCTTCATCCTGCAAGCTAT